CTAAGTCTGCTGGTCCACATGCACACCAGTGTTACTGGTTTTACACCACTGGCTTCCCAAATTGCTTATAAAATACAGTTCACCACTAGGAACCATGTCCAGTTTTCCCTCACAGCAGATCTCTTGAGTCCATCAAGAAAAAGCTGGTTTGTTTTTTTCCCAGGGTGCACTGAAGGAACTTTGAATAGAGGCTATCATCTGATTTTGAAAGACTCAGGATAGCAGGATCCCCTGGACAGCTCTCTCTGGTGGGAAATGGCAATTTTGTTCCAATGTCTCTTCCACACAGAAAATCTGCTGATTTTCCCTCATTCTGGGAGGCAGTTTCCCATCTGCTGCTGAGTGCTATGATGCTATAACTGTGACCATGGCCTAAGCAGTTTCAAGATGACAGTGAAATGTGCATTTTTAAGACTAAAGAGAGAAGGAAAAGCCTGATGTCGAGACAGGAAGCTGAGGAGTCCTGTAAGAGCTGACTCTGCTATAGACTGTCTTCGTGAGAACAGGAGATGAGCAAAAAGTGACCTGCAAGAGACAGGAAGAAGCCCTGGGAAAAGCTGGCTGAATATTTTGAGAGTCAAAGAGAAGATCTATGGAAAAACTTACTCTGGGCTAATATATTCATGCTTCCAGTCTAGGATTATTTGTGAGTAACATGCATGTTTGTACAGGTACATGTTATTGCACATCTTCAGGTGTATAGGTAGCTATGTGAGGAATTATTCCTGCTCTGTGTGTCCATCATCATACTTCATGTGGGTTTTTTCATTATAAAGTACATTTCTTAATTTCCAGATTTATTAAGTGCACATATGGATTTCATGGCAAATGATCCAGGCGTTACAAGGAATTGAACATGACTCAACATCATGACTGCAAAGGTAACTTCAATGAGTTTAAAATAAGTAATAATACACTAAATTGACAACAAGGAGCAGCAAAAGTTTTCATTGAGCATACAGAATGACTTTAAGGGAAATTAAGCATTCTGCCATCCCTGAGGGACTAGGGTAAAATCTGCAGCATCCCAAAAGTAAGACATTTTTACTTAGCAAACAGAGTAGATGAACAGTCTCCCAAGCTAGTATCTTAAAGGAAAGTGCTTGGCTGTCTTTCTGTCATTAAATGGGGAAAAGGAGCATGCAGTCAGGATGGAAGGAGAATGTAACTCATCAGTGAGGGGAAAGTGAAGTCTTTGCGGATGTACATCAACTGCTTTGAACTGCACCCTGTCTACTTTTCCTCAAATACAGCTGCTTTTCAAAATATTTTAATGATCACATATTAAAATACTAGATGACAGACAAAATAGATACTTTTAAGATCTTCAAATAACTGAAGATATCCTACAAGGCTCAGTGGGTATAGGTAAGGAGTTAAGGTTATCCTTGAGGACCAAACTCTGCTTCCTTTCATACACACCTATCTACACACACATATACCCCTCTGCCCCCAAATTTCAAATTGACCATACATGGCTATTTTTGTATTAATAAAGCTTAATATGTGGGAGTACTCTCATTAAATTACAAAAGCAAGCATGACAGAAAGCTGCAAGGAACAAATATCACAGCACACAGGTATTTCTGCCTCTGTCTAATTTCTTGGCACTATCCACACTGTGATTGGACACTGTGCTCATCCCTCCTGCACCTTCAAAGTAGCTACAAAACCCATCTGAAAACCAGGGAAATGGTCTCGTGGTTGGTTGAGCTCCATTAAACCCACAGTCACAGAAGCAACTGCAGTACAAAATGTCCCTCTGGTTTTAGAAGTTTGCTTTTTAATTTCTGCAGCTCCCTTCACTCTCAGGGAGGTTTCACAGAGCAGCTGAACTAAGACAATAGTTACCAGCCTCAGAAGAGTGGTGTCACTCTTGTTTTTCCTCCATCCCACCTAACCAGCCTCAGCTGAGCACTCAGTCATTCTCAGTGAGATGGTTTAATTTTCTGCAAGCTATTAATTACTATAAATGATCCACAGGGCAGAACTGACACCCTCAGACCAGAAACAGACTTAAATCCTAAGTCCCCAAATCCAACTGTCTTGTTCAGCAAGTCTGGTGAACCCAAGTAGTCATCTTTCCAGACTGCATCCAGAAATGAGTAGTGATCACACAGCCTTCTGAAAGATAAGTATTATTTATAAAGGTATTTAGGTGTTTCCTCTCACCTAAGGCCAGCCACTTCTGGCTGCTGCTTCTTATTCTTCCCAGATCACAGCTCTACCTCAGGCAAATTCTCCTGAACCATAAAATCCCATCTCTCAAAAGATCACCCTTTGAAATCTACCATCTACTTCTTTTTTCCTCCTGTATTTAAGGGGCATTTTTTGCCCTGGTTCAAATGGCTGAAGAGGAACCTTCAGAGTTGATAGAACTTTCCTAAATGATTCTTAATAGTGTGCCAAGAAGTTTCAACCAGGGCCATTCCTTCTCCTTCTCCTTCCCCCTTCCAAATCCTCCATTAAGTGAAACCAATGTATTTTTACAGTAAACATACCACTAAACTTGTCCATATATAGACTGATTTGATTATTATTGCAGAGCAGCTCTGATTTTTCCAAAGCAACTTATCTTAGTCATCACTATACAACACAGAAAAAGTCATAAAATGAGAAAGTAAAAAAGAAACTCAAAACCTTCTCTTTAACATTCCTCATTGACAGCGTCTTCTTCATGTATTTCACTTTGTCCTAAGTGTTTCTTAGTGTTTTTATTAACTTGTTATACTCTGCCTACCATTGAAAGTGAGCCAAACAGGGTGGCGTGCTTAGGAGGACACATTTTTTGATGCAATAAAGGAAGTGAAGTATCTCCTATGAACTTAAACTGCAAAGCTTTGGGAGACAGGAGAGAAGCCTGGGAAAGTGGAATGAGAACATGCTGAAAACACAGAGTGAATATCCATACTGAAAAATTACTATAGAATATATAATTACAAGTACTTGGGAGCTCAGTGTTTTGTCTCATCCCCCTTAAAAGCTGCATTGTGACAGGAGCCAGCATCAACTCTAACTGTGCCACCAGCAACAATGACAGTTATTATTACTTTTTATTATATGTGAATTCTCCATTTGTTCCTGCAGCTAATATGTCTTTTAATCTGCTACCAGTACAGCATAGGTGATTTCTGTTTTTACTGGCAACAACATATTCCCTGCTGAGAAAATATGACTCGTCATGGAAAAGGCTTAATCTTGAAATTCAGCTATTTTTTGTTTCTTGGTGGCCTCTAATTGCAAGCTTGAGGCAGTGCACAATAATTATCAGTCTGCAAGCATGAAAAGGAGCAAATGCCAGTCAGGCTATATGGTTGCTTTGTGCACACAACAACATGTAAAGAACTCTGCCATGTCAGTGGTGGGCTGGCAGTTGCTTCTTCAGTGTAATGGCAGTGATTCAGCTGGTAACTGGATGAAAAATTGAAGCAGGTTTCCCTGTTATGATTCTTTCATGCATCTCTGTCAATGACAGTTTACATTCTGGGATTGAGATAATTTGTTTCCTGTTTGCTCACAGCTTCAGGCTTTTCTTGTTTGCCACCGTGGATTTACAGCCCTCCCCCCCCAGCAAACCACATCTAAGGGGTTGAGGGATTACAAGGCTTAATACTTTACAGCTCAGCACATGTAGCAGAAAGTTAGAACTACTGTAAAAGGAATGATGACTAGATATTCCTGGGAAATGGATACATACATGTGTGCAGATATGCATGTCTACATAGAAAGAAGCCCACAGAGCAGTTCACGTAGTGGTGAGATGCTAGACTAAAAGCTTTAGTAGCAGCCTGTCTTCTCATAAACTGAGACAAAACCTCAGAAAGAAAAAAATTATAAATTCAAATAACCTTCTTTATCTGTTTTTTTTCCCCCAACCCTACTTGGAAAATGATAGCAAAGTAAAATACACCCTTCAAAAGACTTCTAACAGTCCAACCTTTCTGCAGTTTGATGAAAACAGATGTTTCTGTATTCATACAGTCATTAAACATAAATGAGGGCGTGATCTTAAATATTTTTACCCACACGCTTCACTACCACCAATACATGTACCTCTCCATGCCTACCTGAAGCAGGGAACTGCTACTAAGTACATTAACAAATGAGTAAGCACTGACAGGAATGGTAAGGCTGGCATTTAACTCTTGCTAAAATTAACTGGAGTTGATTTCAACCTTGAAAAACGTGACCCTAAGTTCTCAGAATAAAACATGAGTGTAAAGCAGTGAGACTAAAACAAAATGGTGAGTGTGTGATTAAATGGAGACCTGAATAGAAGTTGCCCAATCTACCATCTTTCTTACTCAGCTATCCTTTTTCTTTATCTATGAAAGGAAGTATTGTTTGTCTTTATCACTCTTGTCATGGTCAGCAAAACTGGGTGAAACACACAGTTTATTTGGTGCCACCTGCTTTTTGTTTTTCTATTCACTAGCTGCTCAGAAGCAGTTCAGCTTTTCCTTGAAAGAGTATTTGTATTCAGAGAATTATTCGTGGTTGCCAGCTTATTCACAAGCAGCTCATTACAAGTGCTCACTCTTTAAGTACTTTGTTAATTTTGATTAGATAAATGGCTATAGGGTATGTTTCTGTCCCTGACTAGATCTCTAAGCGTTCAGTTTCTTGATTAAGTACTCATGTTTACAAATTTACAGCTCTGTTTCTAAGACTTTTCTTAAATACTTATTTAATATACACTATTTCAAACATTACTGCCATAAGAAAATAAGCTTTGTCGCAGCAGTTCAAGCAACAGTCTCTGGTGACTGAAGCTTTGGAAGGGGCATTACTTGTTTGAGTGAGTACAACTGAGGTCACCCTATTTGAAAATGCAAACATGATGTGTTCTACAGGTTAGCTGTAAGAAAACTAGTCCTTAGAGGACTCACAGTGTATTATATGAATCCCTCTGAAGTCACTAGAATATTTTAAAATATAATGGCATTGTCAGATCATTAGAAATGTTTCTTAATGTAGACCACAGAATCAAATGCACTGACCTGCCCTGGTTCCTTTGCATGGTTCAGTGTTGCACAACTTTTGTTAAACTGCCTTCATCAGTGGGTTTATTACTGCTGATGTCATCAGAATTGTGCAAAGAAGCTTTTCAGAGGTGGTCTTAAGCACCTAAAATGAGACAAAACACAGCCATATTAGCCTTTTTTTCCCATCAGATTCACTCACATTTACTGTAAGGTGTGAGTGAATATGAATTGTAAGAATGAAGATGTGCCCTTTTGGGGAAATGGTATTAAATGGGATCTCAGGACCAAGTCCTGAATCAGGTCGGACTTTAAATATCATTTCCTTATGTCAGATGAAGTCAAGCAGAAGGGCCAAAAGGAGGCAAAGGACAACGTAGAGCCTACCAGAGGTGGGCCAGCAGAGGCAGCCAGGGAGTACAAGTGACATAAAAAGAAGCAAACCTCCTTTGCAGCAAATGTGTTAAAGCCACTGTTTGAAATGACCACTATGAGCAGGCCCTCCTAAAAAGAAAGGCAGGAAAAGGATAACCCACTTCTGCCAACTGAGTCAAGCCACAGTCTCCACGCAAAACTGACACTAAGTATTTTACTCTTTACAAATAGTCTTTATAATTGGGATTTTTAAATAATCCTTCTTAAAAGGGATTGCAGCTGTAATCAATTTGTGGAGGGCTGTTTTAATAAGAAGCTGCTCGAATAGGATTAACTATGAGACCCTAGACCTCTTTCCTCCAGTCCTTAAACTCCTATTTGAAACATTTAGATACCCCATAAATTATTTATTGGTCTTACAAGGTGTCATCAAGCTAAGAAAATGATGCTTGACAAGTTGAAAACCGTAACCATTTCCACCAATTTGTTAACAGCCTCTCCCACATGGCATGTAATGTCTCACTTCTGCCTTGTCTTATAGGAACAGTAGTTATATTCACCCATTGCACCAAAAGCACATGTGGAGAGCTGTCAGACCTTGTGCATTCTGTTTATTTCAGGAAATGTTCCAGAAAATAATTTATAGATAGCTTGAAAAGAGAATGTCAGAGTGGATTTCCTTTTTCTTGCAAGGTTCTTAAACAACAAGGGAACAGAAAAACCAGAGGTTTTCACCCTCTCTGTCTACGGCCTCAAAAAAACCCCAGTTGACTCTTTGATTTCTGAACTGCACAGACAAATAGATATACAGGCATGCTAGAGAAAGGAATACAGGTAAAATCTATGGAGGCTTTTGCCAAGAAAAGAGAAATCCCTCCTTCACCTGAAGTACATCTCTCAACAGCCATATCAGTCAGCTAAGGTTGGCAGTAAGGCTACTGGAATTTTTCTTTGCAGGGCTTCTCCAGCAACACTGGTTAGGGAAGACTTGTAAAAAGGTAGCAGGATAGGGAACGTATTTTTCTATAAGACACCTATCTCAAGGATCACTTCAAGCATGAGGCAATTTGCATTTAGCAAATATCTTAAGTCAGTCTTTATAATTCTGATTATCTGAGAAGGACAGAAACTCACTGCACCTGAAAATAGGTTTTTGCTCATCACTGCTTCTTGTGGGAATGTAACACAAGGTTTCATGCTTGCTTTCATCTGCAGGGTCTTAACAAACTGACTCCCATTCTGACAATGTTCAGTCATTAGTTACAGCAGTTTTGTGAGGATCTTAGGTCATAAGCACCTTGTTTAAATAGTTAGTTAGTTTTGTTTTGTTGGATTTTTAAAATTTATTTATGTATTTACTTTTTACAGCCAGTATGAGATTATAGATTTGATCCATGGTGCAACCAAGCTTTGTACCATGAAGCAGTCCGTGTCAATGTATCACATAAAGCAATTAAAAAACTGGTTAAACAAAGACTTCAAAGTGTGAAGCTCTAATTTATTACATGCTGTTTATTTACTGTATTATTCTACTAATACCAGATCAGTCAGCCTTTAACAGCAATAATAAAACTGTCCATGGGACCAAGGCTCGTGGGGGAGTGACCTGTAGTTTTGCAAGTGTACAGTTTCCACAGACAGAATATCTGAAACTAAATCCACTTAAAAGCACAAAACGGTGGAAACTACAGATGCACACAAGTAAGGTTTTGTCTGATCTACTTCCTGATGTAATTTCAAGTTCACTGAACTTCTTTGATGTTTGGTCATTTTAAGAGACAGTGACTGCTGAAAGCTTCTCTTCTGTTCAGTTGTGGTGCATGGGACACAGAGGAGAGAAGAACTGAGTTTATCAGATATTTAAACATTGGGACAGGGTGTGGTCATTTAATAAAAAATCCCTCTTTGTCTTAAAAAGGGAGAAAACAGAATACGAAGTGAAAAAAAATAGGAAAAAAACCCCTATTTTTACTTTCAAAAATATTTAAGCTGTTTGTTTCTGACTCTTTATAGACACCATGAGATTATGGTTTGATCCTTTGTACAAGCCATCTGTTTAGTATGAAGCAGTGTTAAGTGTATCACATAAAGCAATTAGAGAAACTGGTTAAACAAAGACTTCAAAATGTGAAGTCTCTGGCAGTCCTGGCAAAAAATATTTAAAATACAATACAGTACCTTTTCTACAAACTGTTCTATGAAATAGATAACTCCCAGCAGACTGGAACCATTTGCACTGAAAACACAAGCTTAGATTTAATGCAAGAAAGCTGTTGCTCTCTGCCATCTTATTTTTAGATGCTTGTATATGATTTTTAAGCCACTTCAGTACTTTAAAAATAAGTACTTCTGCTTCAAATGTACAAACTTGAACATGAGGACCTCAGAAAAATATGGGGTGAAAGCAAATAGTGCTTTCCCATTTTCTTTTGGAAAACTTGATTTTGGCTGTTAAAGTGTACAAATAGTCAGCCATGAAGTTACTTCAAATAATAAAAGGAAAACACATCTAGTAGAAAGCTGCAATTTACAGGTGAGGAACATTCCATAAGAAATGCCTGGATACGCAGAAACATTTGAATATGAGTTTTCCCTTGTTCTAGGTAATTTGCAGAGTTTTTATCATAGTACAGCTCTGCTCATTCAACAAAAAATATTTTGTGATTTTAGGCATACACACAGAAGCAAATGAGTGTAAAAGACACAGAAAGCAATATAATTTAGCAGGGGGAAAATGAAGAATTTCTTGAGCTGCTAATAGAAAGGAAGCACATTGGCCTAGAAACCCCTTTTTGTTTATAATTTCATAAACGGAGTCAGTAGCCTGAGACAAGCCTGTCACATCTTTGGCATAGAACAAGGGTCAATGATGGATAACTGACCTCCTTTCTCACTTTTATCAACAAATGTCAAAAAAGGCAAACAACAGCAATGACATCCTGCCCAAACAGCCAAGAGTGTTTCATTTTCTTTGCACTTCTGTTTCCTCTGTGCCTTTAATCAGGGCCGGGGGATGTAATTGCTCTGTCTGGGCACAGCTTAGGGCATGCTGTGCAACTAACAATTAGTTTAGAGGCTGAGATCTATAAATTTTGAGAAAAGAGTAAGAGGATTTGGTGTGCTTGAGCTATCCTTTCTAATGAAGAAAAATATCACACCGGAAGGGACCCAGAGTGTTATCAAAGCAACTTAATATCATCTGGTAGTGATTTGTAGGCCCTCATAATCTATTGTGATCATGCTGAAGGGGGGAGGAAAAAGTCCACGTGTTCCACTATTTATGAGATTTCCCAAACGATGGCCGCCATCTGTGCAAACGCCACTAATCGCAGCCACCGCCTTCACGGCAAATGGCTCCACGAGACTGTCCGAGGGAAGGGAAACACTGCAGGAATGTTGGGCTATTTATTGTTTATAAAAATAAACCAACTGGACTAAGACATATGCGAGGAATTTATATCAAACAGCTGCAAAAGCAAGTTGCCTCAATAGGGAGGGTGCATCGATGATGCAATCAGACCACACTGAAAGGTTTTCCTATTAATCTCAGAATACACATGGCACACTTGAGATACTTTGTCCCCATCTACACCCAAACTCACCTTAGATGGGTATTCTTCAAGCAGTTTTTGAAAACAGTTTATGTAGTCTGAAACTGTTTTATTATGTGAGTTTATGAACTAAATAAATATAAACAAAGTCTAAGAACAGTCTGTCCCCATAGAAGCTTACCTCTCTTAAACATTTCCTCATTACTCTCTTAGCTAAACAAGCACAATGCAGATACTAATACTCAGTGTTTGAGAACCGTGCACACCAAGTTTCTAAGATTTGAAAATTTCTTGTTTTATGGTTAGCAGTCTAGTCCCACTAAAGTCATTTCCTAACTTCTTAATGAAGAAGAACAAATCCATCACAAAAAGAAACAACATTCACTGAGAACAAGGAGTCAAGGAGTAACCAAAAACACCAAAACAACAAACAGTGTCTCAGCAAACCCATCAAGTACAGTATTTTAGTGTTGGGCCTGCATAACAGCATCAGACAAAGGGGAAAAGAGATCTGATCAGAGAAACAAGCTTCTTGTCTTTGCAAAGCTAGTTTACCAAACATGCTTGACACCTGACAGAATCTTACTTTTTTAACTGTTAATGGCCTGGTATACATACAGGAACCTCTGGGAAAATCTCTTTTTAGCTCTCCAAGCTTGAAAACAGCTATCTTTGCTTTTCATTAAAACTGCATGCACTTTGAAACAACTGCCTTCAGGAAAACTCTCAAGCCGATTGACTCTAACATGAGAATTAATTCAGACTGCTTTAGTGTGTGGAAAAGGCTCCACAGAACAGTGTGTCAGAATTAGGCTTTTCCCTAATACAAACTGGCAAGGATTGCTCTTTTGGGAATCCTGCTCAACTGGAATTCAAACACTTTGTTTGGCAACTGATTTTCAAGGTGTGTGTCCTTTTCTTTTAAACAGACACATGATGCTTGAAAGCCAAGGTACAACGGTGCATATGTACATATATATGAATAAGAAAAGGACAGTTCCTAAGAAATCATTTGCTATATCTTGTGAGTGTTACTCACCCATGCTGACACCAGAACTTTCTAGCTAGAAGGAAGGAAAAACGTTTTGTTTGCTCAACTTGTTTAAAAAGAGTGATCATAAGAGCCACTAGTAGATACCAGTTGTGTTTTCTGACTTCTGGGAGACTCTGGGATTTGAGTCTTCTTATTTTTTAGGGTAAAAATTGTTGTGCAGTATTT